GCAAAAAACGCTCGTTCATTTCATAAACAGTATGGCATTATACTATAACGGTAAGGTTTTATAGTTCATTGTTTGTGTAACAAATTCCTCTGTTTATTTCTACTAAGTGATGAAACAAATGAGTGGTCTATGAAGCGAATTATTCACGTTTATCAGGTAGGAGATGAGATGCTTTGAATTGCAGGCTGCAGGCAGCTGAGGGCATCATGGCGGGCAGCGCCTTGCAATGGTAGTGAAGTAATTGAATATGTAATAAATGTTATTGATGAGAAAAAGGGTGAGCAGATACGTACGATACGAATCGCAGATGATTTTGAGTGTTCTATTGATGGTCTTGAATCTGATCATATGTATAAGTAAGTGATATATTATTTCAAACATCATCGATCTCACGCGTTGATTAACAAAACGAAATTGAAATCCTCATCTGGATCATTGATCGAATAAATACAAACAATCGTCAACTTGCGATGATAATTGGAACTGAGAATTTCGTCGGAGGTCGAATTTGGTCGTTAATTCGAATGCAGTTAAAAACTACTCCAGAACAATAATGCTTCTTTTTGTTCGATGCTATCGGCCTGAACTCACAACTCATTAGTAAGCACGCATAAAAAATACTACGATTGGAACTGAAATTGTTTTCAGAATTGACATAAGTGCTGTAAATAGCGTTGGTAAAGGAGAAGTCGCAACATGCGTCGTCAGTACACTTCCACCGCCTCCACCACCACCCCAGTTAATATGTTCTGAAGCTGGTCCTAGTTATTTGAAACTCAAATGGAAACATTCTCCCAACATTTGTATGAATACAACGCCGTCTCTCTATTATTATCTTGAGAAAGAAAACGATAGTGGCAAATTCTCGCCTGTGAGTTTTCGCTTCCATTTCCATTAATGATTGTTCGTATCGTTCACTGTTTGTTTTTTAAATATTGTAGTGAAATATCGATGTATTGTGTAAGTGTGCATTCAAGTGGTCATTTTTGTGTTGCATTCAGCAGTGTTGTTTGATCAGTGTTATTGAGTTTCAGATCTATGAAGGCGATAATCGTTATGCGAAAGTGCGCAGTCTGAATGAGAACAGTAAGTATCGTTTTCGGATTCGTTGTTTATCACGTGAAAGTGGAATGGGTGAATGGTCGTCCGCATATGAATTCGAAACCGAGCAACATCCGCCACCAACAATACGTGGTAACATAATCGTGAACGAAATATCCAGTAACAATTTCCAAGTGGAATGGCCGCCGCTTAAGTCGATTTCATCGTTGTCATCATCATTGAATAAAAATAACGATATCAACAGTACCAGTGATCATTTATTCTATCGATTACAGTTATCAAATCGTTCAAATCCTACTTCGAAATCATCGACAAATTGGAAAACGGTTCACTATTTGAATTTTGATTTTGTTGGGCAAACATTAGTCATTTGATAGGCATTTGTTGAGATGAAGTTGTCATTTTGGAAATTATTTTGATATTCGGTCTTTTTGGGCGAAAATGACTCTTATGAAATGCCCCATGTGCTTTTTGTGAAAGAAAAACTATTGGAGTTGTGATTGCTGACAGCCGGTCAGTGGACAGTGTCTTGAATTTTTCTCTCCTCCTGATAGATTTTCGAATTCTCGTGTAAAATTTCTCATATCCCCGTACATTTATGAGTGATAGTGACATTGCTGAAATTGATGATGACGACTTAATAATATGTGGTGAAATGAAAACAATACGATATGCGTAATCGTTTAAGATATACGAAGGGCAGTCACCGTGTTATTCATTCTCATCGAACGAAAGCGTTCAGCTGCGGGTGTTATGTGTCCGTGATCGTAACGGCAACGAGAGTGTTTCGTCGCCATCATCAATTCAATACATCACTCCCTCGATTACACATTCATCGAAATCAAATAAATCGTATCACTACAACAGTAGTACTAGTATTAATTGTCGATATTCATTATCTGATTCGGATACGTCCAATTCGTCAATCAATAACACTTTTGACTACAGTAACGATAATAAGAATAAATTACATTCTATTCATTATCATATTCTATCTGATAAGCATTATGCACTATTTATTTTGGTTGGTTTTTATTTATCATTTTTCATTCGCATTCCTATCATTACCACATCACTGACAACAATTTGCATATTCCGTTTTGTTCATATATTCCCAATTGACTGTTATTCAGTGGCGTACATAAAGGGAGGGGCACGGAGGGCGTGCCTTTCCACATCCTGAAGATTGGAAAAAATGAAAAAGAGAATGGAAGGGAAGGATTAGTGGGAAAAAGCAGGGTGAAAGAAAAGATGGAAGGAAGAAGGAAGGAAAACAAACGTAGAAGAATCTCTTTCAAAATCAGCTGTTTTTCTGGATTAACCCATTTTGCGTTTCACTCCTCTTCCCTTGCTGGAAGCAATCCTGGCTACATCACTGATGTGTAATCAGTTTTAGACGATGATTTAGAAGTAATGCATCAAATGAAATGTTGAATTTGAGTGAATGAATAAAAGTAAACTTTCAGGCATTCTTCGTGGTGCTTGCATTTATAGTGGCATTACTATTGGATGCTTTCATACTTGAACATTCATAAAGACTGTTAAAATGATGTTACTTCAGCGGTGCACTGTCCAAGAATATAATATCATCTATGGTGTGATATAAATTATCGTATTATGTAAAAGTATAATCAGACTGTGCTTCTTGTTCCGTAAGCACGTTATTATATTATTCTATTCATAGTAGGTATATCTATAAATAACAACGTTTTTCGTTAGTTTTACTTAATTTCTAAATTCCTATCTATCTTTTTTGGGTGCTTTCATTTCTCTTTTTCGTTTCCGTTATCATCGATCAGCATTTATTATCTCTGATTACATTTAAAATTTTATTGCTTCGGAAGTATTTTATCTTTGTAACTACATTATTTGTATTAAGTATATTCCATTACGTTTTTCTTATATGTCGGTTTTTACTAACAGCGTGTTCAACATTTTAATTCTTCCGTTTGTTCATAGCTGAAAGTTCATTGTACTTGGTCATAAACCAATTCATTATTGATATATTTTAATGTCTTTCTATCTTAGATCTTGACATTATTTCTTCTTGTGCACACGAACAGTCTGTAAAATGTAATATTCATTATTGCATAGCATTGTTATTGTCGTTGGTGAAATTATTTAATTTTCTGGAAGACGGTGTCAGTTTATCCTATGAATTCGAATGATACTTTAATATTCCTCATTTTAAGTTGATGGTTATGACTGAGTGAATGGAGAGTTGAAGAAATTCAGTATTGATCGTGTTTAAAGTGCACTAGGCTTTTAGCAATTGGGATTACATAAATTCTCGGACAAACCTCAGTATTGTGATAGCACTCATGAACTATTTCAATGTGTAATTTTTCATCGAAATGCTGTTATGTATTTTATCAATCAGAAATTTCCCCAACTCAATACATAAATCAGCACAACATTCTGTTTACAAACTAAATACAAAAGCAACATATTGCACATCGTCATGTTGAAGCTGTAAGCTACGAACGTTTAATGTTTAACTGTAAGCGAAATGTTTGATTAGATTAATTTTAAATGTGACTGATATACATTGTGATTTTATTAAATGTGACATGACTGTTATTTATTCTTTATAAATTATTTATTATTACTATGAATATTATCGATATTTCGATTATTTATTATTCAACCGATCATTCGGAATGCGTTTGTTTATTCTTGTCTAATGTACGGTACATTGCGAGTATATGTAATTTTGTGTTACAATTGTTTTCGTTATTCTTATTGTTCTATTTATTTTGCGTGATCTTTTCTTGTCGCATAATGATGATATTCTTGAACTCTCTCACCCTTTCATTCGGTCTTCGTGAGCCTATAACCAATCAAAATTACAATTACAACATTCATACGGTCATTACTCGAATGAAGTATTATCATTAGACAGCTCCAAATGAAAGAAAGAGTAATGTAAACCAGAGGTGCGCGCGCCTTGTTCGCGTATACTAGCGTGGTGATTAAGCCCAAACTTGGACTGAGGCTAAGACTTAGTCTGAGGCTCATCCCGAAGCATGGGATGAATTTCAGCAAAGAAGAAAATCTCACGTTGTCCCACTCCTGCATTGCAAAGTCAACTAAAATAGGGCTGTCTAATGATTACCTTAAATGATGCTTATAACGCAAGGCTGTTGATGTGCCACACTTTCCGAGTGAAAATGCTATTGCGTGATATGATGATGATGATGATAATGATACAGTGTTCTCACATAATGCGCTCTTTTGTCTCATAACAGAACGTTCCATGAAGAGTGTTGTCTTTATTACTGTATTAAAATATACATGTGATTTTTTTCACAAAGTAACTGATGAAATTAATTGATTGCATGCAATCATTCCACATATATCAATTCAAACATTAAACTCTTTCCCAGTTATTCACAGTTAATCCGTAAATTAAAAAAAAACAATGAAGATCACAACTAATGTTTTGCATTGATAAAGTATTCCTTGAAGCATGATCGTAATTTATTTCTATCACGTCTGGATGTGAATTTCTATTATTCTAATGGCACCATGTTTCATTCATCTATGGAATATCTGTTGTAATAACAGAATGTGGAATTCTTTCAATTCATTATTTGTTTGCCGCATCATACTGGTAGTTAAGTGCCAAACCTCGATAGGTGGTGTCCGCATCCTACGTTCTCTATTTTGTCGTCTCCATATTATGTAATGAAAGTTTTGACATTGTGGTCTTAATTGATACTCGTTACTTTTGTTGGGTTCTTTCATCTTCAGTACCATTATCCTCCGAATCGTTATCATTATTCCGGTTTCACGGCACTATACTACCATTATTCATGCTTGGGTCTCTTCACTGTGCATGCATATCTCTTTGTATTCATCGTTTCGTTTATTCACACCTGCATGAATGCATATACCTACTAATTTCGTCTGTTCCTTTATTATCAGTGTTGTCATTGATATTATGTTAATATTGTTATTGTTGTTATTATTAATAATATTGTTTTATTGTTTATCAAAAATGACAGCAGACAAACAACGGCATATCAAATTGTGATAAACAGTAACAGTTGAATGACAAGAATTCTGGTATTACTATGTCCTTATGATATTCGAAATCTGTTCGAAAATTTTCCCGTAAGCCTTTCCATGTTCGTTTCCCCGTTATGATATATGTGTATATCAACCGTTTTCAGATGAAATGTGATTGTGATTATATCTTATTTGGTTATTCTTTTTATCGTTACTACTATTGTTATCACTATCACTGTTATTATTATTAACACTATCACTACTATTGGTATTTGTATTTATCACATTGCTGATGTCATTTATCGAATAGTTCTAATTTTTAAGAGTGATTCTTTATTCGTTCATTTAGGGTTGATTATATCATTGAGGTGTTCCCATAAAATATGTTTGCATTGATTCTTTCCATCACTACCGACATTTCATTTCAAATGGCCAATGCTATTTCATTACAAGTTCTGTATTCATTCGTCTCTGTCTATCTATCTGTGCTCTTAATTTCTATGTTATTATTCATTTAATATTTGTTGTGTTCATTTATCTATACATATATTTATTAATAATCATATGCTATTTAACGAACTATACATAAATATTTATTCGTTGTGTTATTTTTCGAACTAATCTTTTCACAATAAAATGTTATACGAACATTTTGGACCTTTATTGCCTTATCACACGAATGAAAGAACTATTACAGTATGCTTCGGACATTGCAAAGTTGTGATTAAAACGATGCATGGGCCTACACTTGACGCATCAGGTGGATCCGTTATAGTGATATCTCTGCTCCTAATATGCTGCCCTGATCCTGTTCCACTGTAACAAAACAGAATAGCCTTCAAGTTGAGGGTGCGCGGATAGAAGAGATGAGAACAGCGTAAACTGTAAAACAAATCACAGTGGAACAGCATTGAAGTTTCGGGTTGGGGTATGGGAACAGCAGAACAGAACAGTTCAAAGGAGGAACGGAACAGAACAGCTTCAAATTTCATGGGTGCGGGAACGGAATACAATAGAATAGTTTGCAAAAATGAGACGGTAGAAAAGAACAGAATGGAAAGGACTGAAAAGAATATGACAATTCACCAGAGGTATGGAATGGAGAATCAATGTTTCGACGATTAACATCTGCTTTGAAAGGAGAATGCTTGGATCTAAAAGTCTGCTTTGTAAGCAGAGTACTTGGATCCGACTGATATGGGAGACTAACATATTATAATGAAAGAAAACATGAGTGCTTTGAGATTAATTTAAATGTCCAAGACATGCCGTTAACTAGTGCTTGTAAAATGTTTATTTGAACGATGTTAATTGGAAGTTTTCGCTGACTTGTCTTGAGCAAGGCCAATAAAATTTCTCCATT